CGATAGCAAGTAGTCGACCGACTTTATTAATAAATCTATTAGTTAATCACTATCAATCATTGTCGATTAATTGTGTGGCGATCGAAAATCGCGTTGTAAAAACACACGTAACAACACATTCAACTACAGACAAACAAAATGCATTTTTTAAACATTTTTAGCAATTGTTTAGCAATTTTAATATTTCATATTCTATTGATTATATTGTTATTTTCTATAAAGTGCGCAATTTTCTTGTGTGCAAAATTTCTTTTTTCTCGTTTTCTGTAAACTACAAATTTCAGACGCATTTTGAAAGTCTGCTTCTCTTTAATAATTTAATTGACATTTTTATTTTTCATAAACGTTTTAATTTACTATGAAGATGGAAAAGAATAATTAATTGAGTTTCTGGGAAATAAATTCGATAAGAAGAAAAACTATAATTTTCATCTTTTTCAAGGACATATTTTCGGAAAGATGCTTAAGTTATTATACAATATTTAACATTTAATATCATAAAAAAGAAAACCATTTTTAGTATGTATTTGACAAAATAATTTCTTTAACCATCTCAGGTTCCATGCTAACAAGTTATAACAACATTATTGAGTTGAATTAGGGATGCACCAAATATCCGGAAAATATCTGATATCTTCATTATCCGGCACATTTTTACCAGATATCATTATATTGCCGAATGTAATACATCTTGTAATATATCGGGTTGAAATTTTATATGGATAGTTTACGTTATTAATGCAGAATTTTATTCCTTTCAGTTGAATTTCATACACAATTCATCTTTCTTCTTCTTCTTTTTGGTTTTCTTTTATGTTGGGAAAATAGAAAAAAATATTTATAAGAACACAAATACAATTCTTAAAAACATGTATAAAGGAACGTTTAATTCCTAATCATATGTATAGATTCACACGAAAGGATAGTAATAAGCTGTTCTATTCTTCGAAAGAAAGAATTGACAAACTCAAATATAATTTTATTTTCAAATACTTACGGATAGAATTACAAGACGCCTATAAACATCTTGGGCAAACAAAATCTGAATTATTTAGCTTTTGTAGAAAAATTGAAAAAATTCTACCTAGTAATATAGCGTATTCTTTCTTTCGAAGACAGGAATTTAACTTTGATATTATGTGGCAAAAGGAATAAGACAGAATCGGCAAAAAAATCTCTAATCTGCGGGCCAAACATATTCGCCAAGAAATTTTGAATATAAATTGTATTAACTATAATATTACGCAATTTGTGAACTCTGAGATGAATGGTGATACTTCCTGTGCATCTTTAAAATTGAATACAGTTTCAACTAAAATCACGAATCCTAACACAATTCATTCATCATACAATATTAATATTACTCCTGAAAGATTTAATGGCAATTTTGATATACGTAATATTAATGAACAATGGCTGATAAATCTGAGCAATGCTAAAGTTTCAGATAAAGCCTTAGTCTTATTACAATTAGGTCAACAATTTAATTTACCTAACAACGTGGTTAGTAAGGACGGTATTACACGTGAGTTCATCAAACACGTAGAATATAATCTTTTTAGGGCGGATGATGAAATAAAAATGTTAGGGAATGAAACTGTCCAAATTCTTAAAGCGATTAAGAATTGTAATAGTAAATCTTCTGAAAATACAATTTTATATGAAGGTGTAAGAAAGGTTAAGCGATTCATCTCAGAGAATTCGGATATTTTAATTACTAGAGCGGATAAATGCAATACCACCGTAATTATGAGTCGAGATAGCTATAAAGAAAAAATGTATGAGATTCTTAATGATCATACTACATACGATTCAATCAAAAAAGATCCTACTAAGAAAATAACTGTGGAAATTGGTAATTTATTAAAAAATTGGAAAAATAAGGGGTACATTGATTCGAATTTATATAAAAAATTGTACGTTTCTGACAGCGAACTTCCGAGATCTTACCAAAAATTGGATTGCCAAAAATTCACAAAGAAGGTCACCCTCTAAAATTAATTGTCAGTTGTATTAATAGTGCTTTTTATCCACTGGCGACTTTCTTAAAAGAAATCATTGACAATAATAATATAAAAAAATTTCAGTTTTGTTAAAAACAGCTTTGATTTAGTAAATAAACTCAATGGTAAAGCAATTGATACAAATTTTAGTATTATATCATTTGACGTGGTCTCCATGTACACGAATATTCCGACCGAATTAGTATCAAAAAGCATTGAATGTAGGTGCAATTTTATGGAGAATAAGACTTCGATTCCTTTACATGAGTTTATCAAAGCAATTATGATTATAATTAATTCTACATTTTTTAGTTTTGATAATAAAATTTTTAAACAGATTTTTGGCATGCCAATGGGTTCTCCTTTGTCCCCCATACTGGCGAACATTGTTTTACAAGATTTTGAACAAGAAATTATTACCAAGGATAATATTATTTCATCTTTTTTCGTTATGTGGATGATATTGTATTAGCTATACATAAAGAAAATGTTGAAGGAGTTCTAGAATTGTTTAACT